GCCCGCCTGAGCCCCCGTTGCGTTACAATATTTATACATGCCTGTCCGCAGTTGAGGAAATGACTCCGTGCAACTCCTGTGGGGGACAATTCAAGTTTTGTTGCAGCTTTCTAAAGCAGCAAAAAAAATACGACTCTTCTGTGTTGATCATAGCAAGAAAAACGTCCGTTAAGTCAGGGCGAAAGGACACAGATACCATTTTTGTATCTGTGGGTTGTTGCCATATCATTTCAGGTGGATGGATGGGTTATGACAGATAAATGTTTGACAAACACGGTGGAGCTCTGTACAGAAACAGGGGGGGCAGGGCTGGTTTTCACAGCTTTGTGTGCAATTAATGTGAAGTAATCTAGTAATCTCCTGTCCTGGAGGGGTCATCACCTTGCAGGTATTCATTGCACTGGATCTCGTTGATTTAAACAGTGGTGAGACGGGACAGAGGTATCGCCTTTCAGCCACTTCTTACTTGTCAAAGCTGGGAAGAGCCCCGGGAGACTGGCAGGATTGTGAGTGTACAGTACACGGGCTGTGCACCGCTGTCATCCGCTAAGATCAGAAAAAACGGGAGCACAAGACATGGGATTGCTGGTCTCGGCAGCGTAGGTTCCCATGCCGCTGTTGTGATCCTCTGTTCTCTGGCCGCTGTGGGTGCAGTGAGCGTGATCAGGAAAAGATTGCACCACCGAGTCTTGTGAAAGTGCGTCACCCGGCAGCTGTTTACAATCGGGCGGCTCTGGCTGTCGTAACGTCCTTTCGTGATCGGAGGGGCAGCGTTACAGAAGGCATCTTGCGGCTCGTGCGTCAGGTCAGGGTTTTTTTTTTGGGGGGGGTTTGTTTGGAGCAGGAAATGGCAGGGCCGGTGGTGCAATTGTTAGCGTTGCCGCCTCGCAGCGCTGGGGTCTCGGTCTGAATTCAGGATCTGGGGTGCTGTCTGGGTGGAGTTTGCATGTTCCCCCCGTGTTTGCTGGGTTACCTCCGGGTGCTCCGAGTCCTTCCAACAGCCTATAGACCTGCTGGTTGGTTAATTAGTGTCTGGGGAAAATTGGCCCTGGTGTGAGTGTCAGTGTCTGGCCTGTGATGGACCGTGTCCTGCCCAGGGTGTACCCTGCCTTGTGCCAGTTGCTTGCTGGGATAGGCTCCAGCTCCTCTGCAGCCTTGTTGTGTATGAAGTATGGGGGGGGAGGATGAAATAGGAGAGTCTTCAGCACCAGAACCATCTCTTACTGGTTCAAGTCTTGTCCACAGGTGTTGAGGTATTCAGGGGGTTACTGGAGTATGGAGATGTGGCTTAGAGGGGTGCTTTCAGTCCAACTGGGCTTCAGCTAACCCAATTGCATGACAATCCCTGGGAAGTTCTGTTCACGGTCAGCAAGTGACACGGCCTACAATGAAACTGGAAGTCTACTGATTCTAAGGCTGCTCCAGCTCTGTGATTAATGAGCTTCCCGCAGGGCGTGCGGTGAATCAATTGAGCAGGTTCCTCAGAACAAACTCAGGACATTTCGCCTCTGGAATCCACCCAACTCTCCACTTAATGGCTTCTCCCTTTAAAGCCTTGTTTTCACTTCGTCCATCAAAGTCTTCCAGAAAAACTCCCATTGCATCACAAGATCACAACGCGCAGTTGTGCTGGTGCTCAGTGTCCTGTTTGTGGCTGTGCATGACGAGCAGATTGGCTGGAGGGGTTTTTTCCTGCTGGTGAATTTGTTATGCTTGGATCAAAGATGACTCGACTGTGCTTTCTCACTGTGTGTGAACTCCACTCTGCGTGGCTTCAAACACAAAATCAAACCGTACAGGACAGCTCAGTGTTAATACGAGAAGCCTGATAGATAGATACTTAATTGATCCCGTGAGGGAACTTTCAGTGCAGCAGCAGCTTAACACAAACAACACAGCAACAGTGTAATGAATGATACAATAATAATAATACAATACATACAATACAATCAGTACAGTGAGAAGTGCAACAAGAAGAGTTACTCACAGTCCAGAACACACAAAGAACAAACCAGAACAGAACATGCATATACATAAGCATATCAAATTAACATTTTCAAATTTTCAAAATGCCTGAGCTGACTGTTTGCCTACGTTTTCAACATTCAGCGACTTTCAAAATGTTTGACAGGGGTTTTATAACCACACGTTTTGTAAAAAATTTCCAGCAACTTAGAAACACTATACACCTGACTGACTGGAACATTGCAGTCAATGCATTGCAGTCTCTGTAAAATGACGGAGTTGTTGTTTGACCCAAACTGTGTGGTATGTCCACATCAATCACCTCCTGCTATCAGTGCAACTTTCCTTCCTGCTTATATATATTGTGTGGCTGGTGCTTTCCATACAGCTCACACTATACTGCGTCTGCACAACCTGAGGAATGGGGGCGTTTGAACGAGGAAAGGGACAGGGGAATTATTTTTAAAAACAGGACATAGTCATTGCAGAATCTTTCCATCATGGGATGCATCACTGTGTTCATAAGGTCTCCATGCGAAGGAGGAAGGAGAGTTTCTTCCAGGAAGTGATACCCCCAGCACAGCCTAGCGATTTAACTTTTGGATCTGACAGTATAGTGGCTGTAGCCGCAGTGAGCTCTTCAGTAAGGTTTACGCATCACATCGACAGCCGCCCATGAAACGGGCTGAGGAGACTTCAGATTGGAGGTCCTCATGTGAAATGCTTTGCCCTGATCTGCATTCCATTGCTAATAACCCAGCCTGCACTGCTTTGCAAGGAAAGCAGTGGCCCATGCTGGTGCCATAACGCCTGTTCTTTTTAGCTTCACGGACTCTCATGAACCACTTTTCTGTTCGTTTCTGCACAAGCCATTTCTAACCCCTCATTGGAATGTCTGCTTCCATCCTCCCATCACCTCCTCCATCTCATTTCATCTCTCTCTTTCTCTCCCTCCTGTTTTTGTAACCCAGCTTTCCGTTCTCCAGGAGCAACCCCGCAAGGACACCGGAGATGCCCCCACAGCCACCGCCTCCCCCTACCTGGACGCCTGTGCTGGGACCCCTTCCCCGCTCTCCAAACTGGCCAGCTGCCCCTCTCCGGTGGCCACCCTCAAGCGGCCAGCTGCCCTGAGCCGCCACGGCAGTGCGGTCGGCTTCCCCCTGCAGGGCACGGGCACCTGGGGGTTCAGCAAGGCCCACAAGGGGCCACTGGCGCACAGCCCGACGGCGGAGCACGGGGAGGGCACCGTCATCGAGGTGGAGGACATCTCCCAGCTGCTGCGGGACGTGGCGCGCTTCGCCGAGGGGGTGGAGAAGCTCAAAGACGTGGTCCTGGGGGAAGGTAGGCAGGGATGTCGGCTGTCACTCTGCGCCAAACTCCTTTGCACTGTCGCGAAGCTCGGACACCTGGCGCGTTGTCCTTGCCCTGGCTTTTGTGCGGTAGATCTCTAGCTGCGCAGTTTTTCTGTTTTTGTTAAGTTGAGGAATGACTGGGGTGAGAGCACAGGCTCACATCAATCTATGCTGTGTGTAGTTCTGTATAGTATACTTTTTTTTTTAAGCCAAATGTCTCATCTGTTATGTCACACTTTAAAGACCTGTGAACTGGCCACATGTGTGTGTGTGTGTTCGAGTTTCTGTGGGCAAACGTTTGTAAGAATCTTTGCACGTATGTGCTCCTGTGATCCCCTCGCTGACACCACGTGCTCTGCGCGCTGGAGTCAGGGGGTAGGGCTGACACGGCAGGTTAGCTCAAGCAACCTTCAGCTTCCTCTTGTGTTTAGAGTTTTGCGGTCAACCGCGCTCTGGCAGGAAATGAGACTCTTGTTTTTGTTAGCGATGAGAATCGTCTCTTACCATGTTTGAGACGAAGTGAAGGTGTGCGTCTTTCTCTCTCCCTCATGGTGCTTTTTGGGAAGAACAAGGTGCTTAGCAAATCAAAATTATTTTTTAGGGATGGATAGTGACTCAGAACAGTAGTGTTTTATGTGTGGTTTGGCCTGAAGAGGGAGAGGATGAAATGTCATGCCACTAAGATGTTTTTTTTCCAGAGCAACGTAAATGCAGATTAAAAATCAGATATCTTGCAAGTCTAACTTAGAAGAACGTCACGTGCTGTAAAGGTTCTGGGACACCAAGCTGCACATGCAGCAGAAACAAAGAGTCCATCTGGGGCTTTCGTGCCTGTTTCCTCATTGAAGTACAGCTGCTTTGAACCCGAAGAGAGATTCTTTACCGCAAATTGAGTCACCACAATGAACGAACCTGGCCTTTGCTTTGTTGAAAGATCTGCTTCGAATAGAATTTCCATTCCAGAAACCTTTATCGAGATGGTCTTAATTAAGCTCAAGGGGAAATGAAGCAGAGTCTTGAGTGGTGGGAATGAGGGTCACAATTCTCAGACCAGAAATAAACTGAGGAGGTGAGGGAACATTGGCTCTTCTGTGTGCGATCTACCACCTTTAAAAGACTTCACTGAATGCCTAACACTACCACACCTGTGCTTGGTTAACCTCATTCACATGCGCGATGCCCAGTTTAAACAACGGGCAGTCCTGTTGATATATGGAGAGTACAGCGCTTTCACTGACCTGAGAGAGAACGGTGACTCCTTTTGTTTCGTTTTCCGAGTTCGGAATGGGGGCTGGGGAGGGGGTGAGGATGCCGGATGGTGGACTCCTCATAAATCTGTTCAGTGCCCCACTGCCAGAACACAGAACAAGCTGGGGAGGGATCAGTTGTCAGGATAACAGAACTTCCTGTCAATGCGGCTATTTTCATCAACGTGGCTTCCTGTTTACAATCTCCAGGCAGGGCTGACTGTTGGTGGTTTGTGAGATAAGCTGTAAGTAACATCTGCCTTGGGGCCTGCTGAGCCTGGGGCCCTAGTTTTTGGCGGTCCAGGAATTGGGCTCCTCTTTTCAGGGAACCTCCCTGTGCTCCTCCTGGTAGAGGCAGAGAAACGACCCTGAATACGCCATTTCTTTTTTTAAGGTGCTTACTTTATAAGAACTAAAGGTCTTGCTTTTAAAGAGGGAGAGGAGCTGTATTTTTTCCATTTTTGAACACTTGCATCGATGGTTTATTTTTTATCAGATTTTAAAGCTTCGGAAATTATCTACATCCTGAATCAATATCGAATCGTTTTTTTTTTAGGAACCAGTCTATTAAGAGGACTTCTTCCTTTCCATGCTGGTTTCACCAACGTGGAAACATTTGTCAGAAATATGTAGATCTTGGAAATATAAATTAATTGAATCGAAAAAACTGAACAGTTTTTGAGAAAAGTGTTAAATATCAATAAAGTATACACACTTCAACAAAGATAGATTTTAGTAAGATTTAAGGTTTGAAAAATAGCTGAGAGGTTATAGGGGTTTTATATAAATTTTAACTTGATAAATTTAAAAGATTCAAGTCTAATCATCAACTAAATTGAGGGTCTTAGTGTCTGATCCTGTAAGGCTGTCTTCTGGGTTTTTTTTAAGCTTGAAATTTAACCTAAGTTTTGTCTACATTAGACATTTAGGATTGTTCAAACGTTCTTTACACTGTCTTGCACAAGACACTCCATTCATTAAAGATGTAGCTACTGATTATTCAGCTGAGAGTCTAGTTATGAGTAGAGCAATTAAGTTCTTACTGAAATGAGAATGTGGAACAAAACCAGAAGACACTGGGACCGTTGATCTAAATGAGTGGTTAGACACATGCTAAATCTACTTTTGTGACACTAAATACACAACAGGTAGGGTTTTAGTCATTGCTCACTTATTCTGTAAATAGATTTAAAAATTCCATTCCTTAGGCTAATCAAAATGTGACCTGAGCACCTTTCCCTACCGTTCTGCAACCACATTTAAATTCATCTGTAGCAAGAAGGTGTGTCTTTTGAGAAACCAGTCAGTGAAGCCGTTGTGGTCAGACAGGTGACTCAATTTCAAGACAAAAAAAACCATCTATTGAATCTGTACCTGATGTACTTTCGTTTCTGGTCTAGTAGGAACTTATAAACAGCAGAAAAGTCCAGAAAAAATACTGCAGATGTGCTCTAAGGTGGGGGTTCCCAATATAACCCCTGGGGACCCCCATGCATGCCGGTTTTCATCGCTGCCGAGCTTTGCTCGGACGTGCTGGTGACTGAACCAGCGAGGTGTTTGGATGGAGCCTTTGTGATGTGTTTTTTGTCCCCCCACTCAAAGGTTGGGGGTCTCAAGCCACTTCAAAAACACCGCAGTTAAAAAGCACACCCCTACAGCTGAATGAACTGAACGCAATTAAAAATGTTCAAATGAAGCCGGAGCTTTGGTCAATCAGGGGCTCGGTTATTTCATTGAGCGCTCGGGTGGACGGAAAACCAGCAGGTGTGAGAGTCCCCAGGATTAGGAGCCCCTGTTGTAAAGGTGTTTTGGGGTTCAGTTTCAAGCCTGTTGAGGCTACAGCTGAGCTCTGAGTGGTGAGGCAGAATGACAGGGGGGCATTTCAGCACCTCAGTCTTGCAGGGCTCGGTACGGAGCGCGCTGGGTTTCAAAAGCAGGAGCAACCTTAGAAAAGCAATAAATCCCTTTAATTGATGGTCTGAAAATGTTGTGGAAATCAGGAAGAGGTGTGCGTGGGGGTGGCGGGGGTGTTAACCTAGTTTTGCAGAGAACTCTTCTGAGCGCATCCTGCCCGAGTTCATGCCTGGAGATCTTCCGATAGCTCAGGCCTGACTCAAACATATCCTGTCTGTGAGGCTGGAGCAGGAACCTGATGTGCAAATAAGAGCCACTGCTGTTTTTTTTTTAAATCTTTATTCTTGAAGTAACTTGGAGATGGTTTGCCTGGTCTTATATGATGCCTGTTATTTTTCGTCTGGTCTTGACACACACGTCGGGAACCATTCTGCAGCCCCAGCCTCTGGGCAGTGAGGGGAATTTGTTTTACGCTGAAAGCTGAGCAGAGCAGGGTAGCCACCATATCTGCCCTCTGCCTGATGGCACCGATTCCGGAAACTGACTTTGTGTGTGTGTGTGTGTTTGTGGGGGTGGGGGTAAGCCTGCTAAGTCTGCTCAGGGAGTGAGTGCCTCTTGTGTCGAGAAAAAAAAATAATATCCTTTTCGTTAATTAAGGAAAATCCTCTTGGAGGTTTTGTGTTTTCTAAGTCCTTGTGAAGTAAAACATGTTTATAACCCAGGTGGCACAGGGGTAAGCCTTGCTTCCTCACAGTGCTGAGACCTTGGGTTCAATTCCTGGGGTGCTGTCTGTGTGGAGTTTGTATGTTCTTCCCCATTTATGTGGGTTTCCTCCCGGTGCTCCAGTTTTCTCCCACAGTCCAAAGACATGCTGGTGGGTTCATTGACCTCTGTGAAAACTGGCCCTGGTGTGAGTGTGTGTGTCTGGCCTGTGATGGACTGGTGTCCCTTTCAGAGTGTAGCCTGCCTTGTGCCTGTTGCTTGCTGGAATAGACCTCCATCCCTCAACTGAAAGGAGTAGTTAGAAAATGGATAGGTGTGTGGATGTTATAACCCAAAATAAATGAATTAAAAACTCTGTTGCTTCCTCAACCTGAAACACGAACCTGACTCTGACGTGTTTCACCTGTCACACGTGGGTGACTGAACATAGCACCATATTCCTCTTTTTTGCAGCCTTTTCTCTCGTTTACTCATGTTCAAGTATTTGTATAGAATTTCCGCACATGCTTGCATTTTACGGATGCCGTGTTGTACGTCTTAACTTTCAGTCTGGTTTGTGCTTCTTTTTTGCCTGCCTTGCATTAAGATAAATTCAAATAACGGTATGTATTTTTAAAAAACATCTCTCACCTCAGCTTCTGATACAAGGCTTTGAAATGTGCTGGGAATGATTGAAAATCCACTGTGAAGCAGTACAGAGCCTAGGGCCGGCTGTACAGTTAGTGTGCCGAAGTTGACTAAGTCCATGGACCTCTTTGCAGTGAGCTGTGCTCCCGGGAGGGAGGGGGCGGGGGCAGGGGGGGGGTTCTGAGTGATTGTCTGGACCACTGGTGTGAGAGCTACTGAGCTGCAGGAAGAGGAAGCTAGCAAGTTACAGAGCTGCAGCAGGAGATGAGCTCACGGCATTAACAGGCATTTCAGAAATCCTGTGGCGTTAGCCAGTCCTCAGAGACACGCACAGCCGCCTTTGCTTTGAAAAAACGAAGCTGCCTTTGGTTTTCTGGCGTTGTAGCTCTTGGGTTGTCTCGTGCCTTAGCGTTGAGTGTGCGTGCATGAGGCTTTCCTGTAGGGTTCTATGCCAGGACTTCAGCTGCATGGTTAAGACAGCCCTGACGGCCAACCAGTCGAGTTAGCCAAGCCAAGTGTGGTGGAAACAAATAGTTTTCTGTGCATCTGAACCTGAATGTCCATGCTGCTGCTGCAGTATTGACATTCCTGCTGAGATAAAGGGGGGCAGTATTTTATCTTATGTGCTTGGATCAGCCTAAAGTCTTTATCCCAATGTGCACGACTCTCAAAAGAAAGTTCCCAGTTGTCACAGCTGTGCTCTCTCTTCCCCCAAGTTCTTAAAAAAAAAAGCCCCGAGGAGCTCTGTAGCAGATGTGTCTCAGCCTTGTTCACGATGGCAGAGCTCTCAGAGTTGTTCCGTTCTGAAACAGCGAGATAAGATCCTTGGATCAATGAGCTCCTGCAAACTAAATGAGCTAGATGAGCCGAATTGATTTTTCTGGTTATAAAATGACGATGTTATGTTCTGAGCCCATCCTTAATTATGTATCTGCAGTAATTATCAGCCATTTAAAAGAATCGGCAAGCTGTGTCTGCCCCAGTCCTGCTGTACTCTGGATTCAAAGGCAACAATAACATATGGGATTTTAATTTGAAGTGAAACTATTCTCTAGGTAAACCATAGCCCTGGAGAATCACCAGGGGACTACAGTATGTATTTATAGATGGACGGGCGGATCATATCACTGTGCCCTTTGTAATTGTGTTTAGCACCTGTCCCCTGGTAGTGTGGTCGGTACACGGTTCGCTGTTCAGAATCTGAATTGCTGTGGAGGCTTGAGTGGTTGTAATTTGTAATGACTTGCTTGCACGTTGCACTAGTAATCAGCTGACCATGCCCTGCTTCAAGCCAATGATTATGTTAGCGCTCTCACTGGGACGATCCCACAGCGCCAGAATAACTGAGAGTGCCCTCTGTGCTTGGAATGGGGGTCCCCCACATTGCGTTACCATCATGGTGCCTGAGACTGGTGCTGGTGAACTTCAGAAACTGTGCACTTGCTCAGTCAGGTGTCTCACTAATAAACGTCCCATGGAAACCCTGACCTGTGGCAACATGTTCCGCCAGTGTTGTATTCGTGGTCACAGGTGAAAAGAAAAGGGATTCGGGAACTGAAATTGTTTTAATTTAAAACAGGATTAAAGCTCCAGTGGGGGGGGGTTGTATAAAAGCCTGCACTTTGATCGCTGTAACATTGGACATCTTTGAGGTTTTGGATTTTAATGTCATGTATTGTCACACAGCTTTGTTAAGTGCCTTGGGGCCACCTTGTTGTGAAAGGCGCCATATAAAAATAAATTGAATTGAACTGATCATTGTCTCCATTTGAAAATAAAGATCACTGAAAGAAGGCCTGTGTATAAAGACATACATGCATACAAGGGATACATGTTGTGGTAAGAATGTGAAAACGGATTTCAGATAAGGCATAAATATTTAATCAGGGATTGCAGGCTTTTACATCAATGCCTCACTCAGCCTGCGGATGCTAATCAAGGCAATTGTAGCCTGGGTTTAACTGTTGTGCGTTCCCAGGAATAATATTTCTCACATATGAGTAGCATATGAGGGCTTCTTTGGAGTGCTGCTTTAAAAATACCTTTGATAGAGAAAGGATTTAATTTTTAAAATACTGAGCAAATGCATAGCATTTGGCTCTGCCCCAACATTCAGTCGGAGTTTACCACAGAGATTAACCACTCTCTGTAGCTCATTCTCAGGGTCTTTAAACTTCTGTTTTGATCTCGTGAGTTTTAAAACTTCTTTTTGAAGACAGATTACTGGCTGTACAGTGTGCAGAAGAGTCCTGCCATGCTCCAGTTGGCTGACAGATTGCACTGTTATTTATGCCATTCTGCCTTTTGCACAAACAGTAACAGGATGTACATCTACAGCCTATACTGACTGTTCTCTTTCTGCCTCTGCCTGGCCAGTAAGCACTATGGTTAAAAAGTGCTAAGAGAACCACTCTAAGCAAGGCATTGCTGTGTTTCAGTATTTCAAAATGTAATAACATCGTAGACATCTGTGCATAGAATGGATGTACAGTAACCACACATTTGAATTTATGCTTTCTAAATCTAAACAGTATACAGTGTTCTAACCCCAAAATCTGGTTGTGAGTGTCTCATACGAAACACATTTGAACCTGACCACTACAGTAGCTTGCCTGCAAGAGACTCTTATTGTTGGCACACAGATACGCGAGACACACGTTAATGCAGACTATTAAGTGAACCTAACATGTCCTTGGACTGATAATGGCATCGGCTGATGTCTTATTGAAGGATATTTGCCAACTACAAGAGCAATTGACTGTGCAAATAATACCAACCAAAAAAGGAATTGGGAACTGGAAATTGGTTTTATTTTGTACTATGTCCTGCAATCTGACATTTATTTGTAGGTACAGGATGAAATCTTTGTGACGTTTGAATAAATTGTCCATTAGCTGATTGGCATCAGTGTTATTTTATTTTGTGTTGTGATGTCTGGTTAAAGAAAGGATTTACCGAATGTCCTTCATGCTCAGTTCTGAACTCTCCTGTTATCTCAGGACCTGGGCTTTGAAAATCCCTCTTTATTACCTCATCAAGCAGATAGACGCTCTGTTTTTATTGAGCTGTATTTGGATTGATTAAAATAATGTCCAGGGCACTGAGCAGTATGTATAAATGTTCAGAGCACCACTCTGAGCAAGGCTTTGATGTACTTGGAGTAAGTTCCATTGGTGTAGCAGTTTCTCATTTCTTTCCCTGATCTGCTGTGCACTGTGGTACCAATACCTGTTCCCAGTTCTGAGTTTTTGGGGTGTTTGGACAGGCGTCCAGCACTAGTGGCTGAGCAATGACTTCTTTACCGCTGATGTGCATCCGTGATCTAAATGGGGGGTTTTCAGGTTTCCAAGGCTGTGTTCCAGTCCCAGCTCCTTTGACCTGGTCGGTCTTCCTGTTTTGCAGATAAGCAGGAGAACAGGAGGCCTCTTGCCCATGAGTGCCTGGGTGAAGTGCTACGGATCTTGCGCCAGGTGATCAGCAAATACCCGCTGCTGAACACGGTGGAGACCCTCACTGCCGCCGGCACCCTCATCTCCAAGGTCAAAGGTAACGCACCTCACACTTCCTGCTGGGCCACCCTTCGCTGCTCCAGTGCAAGAGAGCTCCTGATCCATCAGCCCGATTCACAGATATTAAAGCAAGGCACATGGGCTGCACCACGATCTCTCAAACTGGACATCAGCTGCTTGAGCTCTGCGAATTGCCTGTTCATTCAGGTCTGTCCGCTGTAGAATGGGTCTAAACCAGGGCCCATCCATGTACTTCCCTTCCTAACCCCTTTTTCTAACTTCCTGATTAAGTTGATACTGGGTGGAAGTGGCGAATCACTTCAGTGGAGTGTATTAGGATTGCTCTGGGTGGAAGCTTCTCTCCATTAGGGGGCAATCGGAACAAGACTGAAGCTCTGCTGTGATCTTATCCATGGCTTATCAATGGGATGGGTCTGTCTCACAGATCATTGCACTAAAGAGTCTGGCTCATACTGTGCCTGTTGTCAGAAGCCCATTAATGGCACAACATGCACTTACATATGTTAACAGGTTCATAGAGCAATGGCACTCATTACCCTGAATGCCTACTGCCTGCAATGTATGAGTAGATATATATGGACCTAAACTGAAAGCCTTCTAAAACTCTATGCTGTATCTGTATGATCTCATTATATCATTTACTGCTGTTGCTTAAAACAACCAACACTCTTGGCTTGTATTAACTTATCTTCCTAAAGTTCCCCATTAGTTCCATTGATGAAGCAGCTTCTCACTCCTCTCCCTGTGCTCTGTGGCTGTGGTAATATCGCCCCAACCGTTTTCTAGTTTATTCCAGTGCACTTTTCTTTCCCTTTCCCTCTGCCATTCTGAAATCCTTATTTGTCTGTGCTTTCAGTTTATCTCACTTAAAGTTCCTCTAGCTTGATGTTTGTCTCTTTAAGGCAATTTAACAGAGTGCATGCAATATTCGTAAATCGTTTTGTGTATAACAGATGTCACAGTGTGGAAAGGACACTCCTGCAGTAACACCATTAACCAGGTCACACAGGAGGATGTGGAATACCCTGTATAAATCACTTACACCTCCAGCACAGATGTTATTGTTATGCCACTGCAGCATGTTCACATCAGCCCTGGTGTGATTCTCCAGTTCATTGGTTTTCCTGTTGCAACTCGTCCCAGATGGCCAAATAAAGTTACAGCCGCAGAAGCAGAATTAGAAGAAAGTTCTGACTCACTACAAAACATGGCGATCCAAATTGAGACGGCTCCGGGGAGTTCTGTCGAAACATTACGGTTATATCCCAGTGTTGTCATAGGCCAAACATAACATCAACGCAACACTGCTGCAACACTCCCCTGGCGGTTTGTGATTTCGCAATATTCTGACATCTTGAAAATGTGCGCTAAACATCCACCCACCGGGTCATCTAAAAACACCATGCAAAGGTGAGGGACTTTGAGTCTGAATGTCTCACAGAAGCAGAACTGCTCCCTTCCAGTAACGTTGTAAGAACTTTTTCTAAAACACTGTGTCTGACGTAGGCAAACCACAACCTATTAGGAAATGTCGGTACAGTGTTCTGTGTTGCCTGGAACAGAGAACTTGATGACTGTCCTCTCTATGGCAGGCTTCCATTATGAGACCACTGTGGAGGCGGACAAGAAGGACTTTGAGAAGGCGATTGAGACGATAGCCGTGGCCTTCAGCAGCAAGTGAGTGGCCCTCCCCTGTAATTCCACTGCACTCCCATTCAAGCTTGTTCCATCCTTCCACCATTGGCACATGGTTTTATTCAGTACAGGGTCACCAGGGACATCAGAGCCTAACCTGGCAAGCAATGGGATGCCAGTGCATTGCGCAGGGCATGCGCGCACACACACACACACACACACACACACCAGGGCCATTTTTCCAAGAAGCCAATTAGCCTCCCAGCATGTCTTTGGACTATGGGAGGAAACCCATGTGAATACGGGGAAAACATGCAAACTCCACACAGACAGCACCCCAGGTTGAACCCAAGGATGCAAGACAGCAATGCGAAACACTGTCTCGCCCATACCTTCTGTTCCATTTATCCTTATTTAATTAAGCTACAGCCATTCAGTCAATTTATTTACAGATCAATTAAACAATTAAGTGTCACACTGGATCAAAGACCTACAATAGAACTGAACTGAAGTGCCAAGGTTGTATATTGTACGGGAGTGATATTAGACTCTAAGATCCAGTTTGGGTGGAACAGGCCTAGATTAGTTTAATTTGCTACAGCACATAATGTCTTGGAGGATTAGGGATGACGTTCACAACAAGTTTGTTTGAGCCTATTGCCGAAACACCAAAAGTTTGCAAACTTGTGTGGTGTAAGTTAAAGGCGAAATATCAATGTTCCAAGCAAAATATCACAAAATATTGTGTCATTTATCCTTTCCTGATTAGCAACAATGCACTGCAGCACGCACCAGCATGCTAAACCACAAAACCTGCTCTACAGCCATGCTTTTGTGCTTAAAAGCACACATTTCCTTATTGATCCCTGTATCTTGTTAAGGCCTTTCTTGAAAGGTCTTGGGACACTGGCTTCAACAACATGGCTGGGTAGCTTGTTCCACACTACGAACACCCTTTGAATCGTTGCCTGTGATTTAGCCAGTTCCTTTCCGACAGATCACAAGTGAAGGCAAAAAGAATTCTGCGTGCCTACAAAAATGCAGAGCTGAACCAGCAAAAAAGAACTCGGTCCTCTTTGAAGCGAGCTGAGTTTCTTTTGCAGTAAAAGTTATGCATGACCACATAAGATACCGAGTTCATTTCTGTTTTCTTTATAGCGCTTCTTTCCAAGTGAACCAAGTTTGGCTAAGAGGAGAACTGTATGTCACAAGGCCTCTAATGAAGCATTAAAACGAATTGCCATCCCAATAGGGTTTCTGAGCAGCGAGTTAATTTCATTTTGCTGTGGCAGTAGACTGCTTGTGCAGACAGGAAGTGCCAAGAGAACAAACCTTTGAAAAGCTATTTGCATGTGGCTGTTGCTGAAACAGGAAGGTAGTGGATGGGTGAGAGGGTTATACGTTGTGTTGCTCGAGCAAGAAAGAGATAGTCAGGACAGAAACCTGAGTGCTGACAGTTACTGTACAGGAACCTCTGAGTCCGATGCTTTTTCGTTTAGTGCTGCGGGCCCTGTTGAGCAAGCCACCATATTTTTCCCAAAAAAAACAAACCCGAGTTGATTTATGAAAACTGGGAACGCAGAGTTTCAGTTCAATTCAGTTTAATTCAGCTCAAAACTTTGTCATATCAACAAAGCTGATTAGAATTTGCTCCAGCGAAGCCCAAATAAAAGCAACAGAAACAACGTTACACTTACACAAACACGGTGCAGATTATTCAGTCAGTCCATCTTCGGCTCGAAGTTTCATGTTGGCTTAATGTATGCAGCAGTGCCCTGATTTCTGTCTCTGCTTAAACTTCAGTCTGGCAAAAAAACCAAAACGCAGCATGCTCTCAGGATGAGGTATATGGGGAAGTGAGATCACAGGGTGATAACTGTTATTGTCAGAGGTAGGGAAGGTAGTTCTTCTGGCCAGGGGGGTAAAAGACCAGAGTAGCTTCCTTGTCTGGCTGGTGAGGCAAGTAAGGGCACACTGTTCCAGTTCGGGCACCCACAGTGTGGTCGGTGTCCTGAGGCCGATGGGGAGAGACAGGGGGGCAATGTGGACCTTACAGGTGCCAGAGCCTGCAGTGTGCAGAAGCAGGAGGTAGGGACGGCTCTGGACCAGGGCTAGGGGGCGCAGTCCCAGCTCTTAGGCCCTGCTGGAGGCTCAAGGTAAACACTTGGGTTACCATTGTATGCAATTATTCTGAGCTTTTTCTGAGCATTAGCACGGTAGTCAGCAAACGATTGATTTGTCAATTTTACATGTTACAACATATAACATTTTAACTTTAAGAATGTTACAGGAACTACAAGGAGAATCCTCTAAACTACACTTATTTTGTAATTGAAAGCCTCATTTATGTCTGTTGTCACAAATAATAATCATAATGTTCTTAATGAGTCCAATTATTTGAGCCTTTAGTGTGTAAAATAAATATAGGACGCAGATCACCTGCAGAAAGTTTATCTGTGGAGATTTAAGACCTGGATTGAGGGAGGTACTGTGTAAGTGAGAAATGACAGTCACCTCAGTCGGTTCTTCCTGGTCTGTTGCTCAGATCATCGTGCTCTGTGCCTGTCTGACAATGTAGCACTGATGTGCTTGGAAAGTGGAGTTTGTGGGATTTCTGGATGAAGGAGATGGGAAATACTTGCTCTCCAGGACTTGAGGATTGGCATGTAATAGATGTGTTTGGGAATTTATGTAAAATTCTTAAGTGGTGGAGTTCTTTCTTGGTGTATTTTTTAACTATGGATTGTAGAATTGCATATCACGACTCGGTTCTGAAAATTGAGAGATTCGTAGTTCAGCAGATTTGATAGGTTTTGTTTTTAGACCATCAGTCTCTTGGGCTGAATGATTTAATGGTGATCTGTTAAAGGGGTGAGCTGGTAAATTCTTCTACATGTTATTTGGCACGACACTGAATATCTTTCAGCCCTCAAGCTTCATCGAAAACTTAGGTTTAATCTCTTAAACAAGTCAGTTGATCCAATCAGTCCACCTAAAGGGTACAGTAAGGTTGTATAGGGTGACCCATAAGACTGTCTCCACTGGGGCTCCCCAAGAACAGGGTTGGTGACCCCCTGACCTAAATCATTTTAACACAACTGTGCTATGTGAGGACCTGGGATATAGATCTAGGCCTTCAAGAAGAGCTGAGCTCATCTCTTTCTCCGCCGGACTTACAAAGCAGACACGTGTTGTGTTCCTTTAGATCAGTTGAAATCCTTGCTTCTGGTGCTGGTGAGTTTTAGCTTTGCCCGGGTTTTATGACTCAGAATGTGATTCTAATGTATGTGTTTATGTGTGTATGTTTCTCTCCCTTGGGTGATTTCCAGAAATCAGTTTTTCCTTTTCTGATGTCATTGAGAGACAAAGTAAATATCTAGCCCAGCCTTACAGTTCCCCAAGCCCTGATCGGTATTGAGCACTAAAGCTCCGTTTGAATGTTTTAAAAACTGTTACCAGTGATTTCCCTTCCTCTCTCCCTTTGTTAGAGCAAAGCTGTGGATCATATTCAGTTCCTGTGTGTCTCAGTTTTATCTCGTTTTCTCTCTCTCTCTCAGTGTGTCGGAGTTGCTGATGGGGGAAGTGGACAGTAGTACCCTCTTGTCTTTACCCCCTACGGATAAGAGCAGAGTAAGTCTGTTCTTGCTGTCTTGGTGTCACATCCTTGCCAAAAACGTATTCTCCCTTTCTCCTTTTCCCTTTCAGTTTGAGCACACACACGTAGTTAACTTAGGAAACCACTCCACCTACATTTCAAGTGCTTTTCCTGTTGCAGTGCAGGTTGCACGGTAAATACCCACATTAGAAAAGCCCTCTTCGCTTTCCGAAAGGGTCCCCTTAGTTCACTGCAAACATATCTTGCAACGCTAGCATGTTAAACCACCTGGACTGTCTGCTGCCCTTCTGCCTTCCTTGTTGCACAACATGTCCTTTCTGCGTGAGTCTCGGTCATGTGCTGTCATGGCGTATCGCTCCTGCATGAAATCTCATCAAAGGGGAATGAGAGGAGAGGAAGCGTGGGGTGGGGTGGGGGGTATATTGGTGGCGCACAGTGCGATTCGGATTTTTGTCCGACATTGATATATGCCCCCCCACGGTGCACATCCTGCAAACACAAACTATTTTCTTCTTTAGTAGCTTTCTTGCTGCCTTTTTTTTTTTGTCTTTCTGGCTGAATGAGCTTGCACTGTCGAACACAGCAGTCGTGGCAAAGGAGCGGCACCTTTGCGATCAGACCTCATTGTGCGCCACTCTCCCCAGACCGGATGCTGCCAGGTCTGTGTGTGGGCAGCTTCCTGGCACCGACTCTGCGACGCTTTATCTCTGCTTCTGCTTTTCCTCTGTGCGAGCTGCGGTCGAGCAGCCATGTAAACACAAACCCCGTAGTAGCTGCGGAGTTTTTTTTTGGTTCTTAAAAACCCAGAAGATCAAATTGTTTAAGTCAATAGATTGGAAGTATGTCTCTCCATTATGATTCTCAGCAACTTCCATGTTGGTAAGAGGACATGTTTTATCAGGCCGGCTATTTTTATATGTATATATTGGGTTTTTCCTGTGTGTGTGGAGTTTCAGTTTTGCCATTACTCTGATGATAAAAATGATCCCGCCCCATGGTAAAGAACAGCATACTCAGTTCCTGCCTAACAAGGTACAAAGCTCCAGACGGATCTTTCTTTTTACTGACTCCATCAGCAAGACTGTAGCTTTAGAAGACCCAGGGAGCGTGGTTCAAAAGTTAAAAAGTTTCATCATTTCCTGTATCCCCCCTCCCTGATCTCCCAGCACCTGCTCTGTTAGTGCTGTGGTTACCCTGTGGTTGCCGTGCAGTTCCTGCTGTCTCTCACACTGTGCCCTCCTTCTCCCAGTCCATGGAGAACCTGTATGGAGGGCTGCCGGGACACGGGCTGGACGTGACACTAATGAGGAGCGAGCTGCAGGATCTGGGTAGGGAGCCAGGAGCCCGCAGAGCTGGAGGCCGGAATGACCAGGATAGGTGCAGGGGTCACAGGGATACATTCTAGTGTCCGGAAGAAATCTAATCTGCTGATGAGCAGAGGTCAAGAATCTAGAACCCATGCCAGGAGTTCCCAATTCTGGCCTTGGTGGAGCAGCATCCAACAGGTTTTGATTCATCAACTTTGAGTCAGAAGCAGCTCTACGCCTGGCAGAAGGGTTAAATAGGTCAAATTAATGTTCAGCTCCATGTTTCTCACTTGAGATGTTAACAAAAAAAAAAAGAGAAAAGCTGCTGGATTCTGGACACCAGGTTCCAGAGCTGTTTGGAAGTTTGGGTCTGCTTCAAATGGTTATGAACGTTCAGGAAAACCACTGGACTTGCAGATTAGGCAATTTAATACATTACATTTGGACCCTAGATGTTAGTGTAGGTTCAGCTGCTATGAGGTTTAGTGTTTACCCAGAATGAAAGAAAGTGCATTGGTTGTGTGTTCCTCAGTGCTTGTGGGACATTCTGAGCAATGGAGGGGGGGTATGTTTAACCAGTGCACTTTAAGTGTGTGGATGTACAGAGAAGGGAGGGATTGTATAGGGAATGTTCTTTGAATGTCTAAAATATCTGTGCGCTTGTCCGTGTGTGGAACAGTGTTCAACGTGGAGGAGGTGGACATCATTCTGCAGCGCAGTGAGGGGGGCGTGGACTCTGCCCTGGCGTACTCCAAGAACATCTCCAGATACATGAAGGACGTGATGAGCTACGTGGACAAGCGACTGTCGCTGGGTCAGTTGAGCCACATGGGGGCGCTCCCGACACCAGCTTCGTCAGGGGTCCCTCAGACCCTATCCCCCCCCAGCCCCCCACAGGCCCACGATGGCCTTGAAGGGGTCTCCCCTTACTAATCTTTAATATCTCATCAAATATGCATAGTACAGGCCTGGTGAGGGTGTTGAACTGAAGGGCACCCCTTGTACTTCAAGGTTGAAATATAATTTGTACATTTTACTCAGTATTCACATTAAACCAGAAAATGTCCAAGGTCAAACACAGAAAAAACCATGAAAGACATATTCTCTGGTTGTAGCACATGTGGGAACCCAGGATTTTTTCCCCCAGTGTTTTCCCACTGTGTCTACTGCTTTGGATAAAAAACTGTAATTGCTAGGATCCAGAGACCACATTCCAGAGCTCTCTGGGCCTCTCCAGACCTCTCCAAAATGTGAAAATGTGCAAATCTTTATGGCTGGTCATACACTTGTATTATGGACACATTGTATTTGGCGTGTTACCTTCTGGTATCTCAGATATTTTATGCTTTCCTTCTAGCCTTTATATGGAGGAATTATAAATGCCTAATGCTAAATAAAAAAATAGAGCAAGTGGTTTGGAAAACTGTGTCAGGTGGCAAGACAGGAGTTCTGACTCTCGTGTGTGTATCTCTTCTTGCAGAGATTGAGTTTGCCAAGGGCCTGCAGAGACTGTACCACTCCTGCAAGCAGAGCATTGCGCAGGTAACCCAAACCGGCATGTACTGCAGCCAGGAAGTGTTTGAGTGGAGCGTTTCCTGGGAAGGACGGGACAGTGTAGTAGATTTTCTGGTTTCGAGGAACTGGAGCGCAGCATAACAAAAACGAGTATTTTTTTGTTGTTGTTGCTTTTACCTAATCCAAGTCCCACAGGGCTTGTCACATTGGTAATAAAACCGTTTAATTTTCATTGTGGTTTTGTCCATATCAGTGTGCATTTTCACATGCATTGTGTGTTGGTACCGTTGAAGTACTGCAGGGCTTTCAGAAGTTTTTGGAGTTAGACAGGGTGAATTAAAGTCAGCCGGTGGATCTTTCAAAGGGGTGACAGTGGACGGTCCATCCTCTTCTGTCCGCCTTCAGGCACCAAATCAACTCGGTCAACGGCGGGATTTTAGATTTTGTTTGAAACACTCTCTGTGGCTGTGTCCTTGACCCAGGCGATCCTGTTTAACTAAGCTGCCAGCAAAAATTACAACCAGAAAGCCCTGTGACACCTTGAGAGTAGGATATCATTCCCCTGTAAAATCATATTGATAACTAATACCGTTGATGCCAGGGCCTGGGAGGGTGTGAATGACCACTGAAAGAAGGTTGTGGGTGTTGCAGTTAGGTGGGCATCGTAAGATCAGTTACAAACCGTCCAAAAGAGAAGTTTCAGCCCAGTGGGCCCTTTTGATAGTTAGAATCTAACTGGCGTGAAGATCTCCAGCCGTTTCCGAATGAGAAACCCGGGGTGCTGACTTGAAAGACAGGCTGGGTATTCTGTTCTGTACTCCTTCCACCCATTGGGTACAGACGTCTCTCCTTAACGCACGCTCCTGTGCGATCGCTGATCCTCCCCTGAGCCCTGCGTTGGTCAGGTTTAGCCGTGACTGGGTGATAAACACGAGCCACCAGACCCTGAGATCTGTGGCTCCTCACTGGCGCCCCCTCTCTCCCGTCCTGTGCAGGTGCACATGCCCTTCTTCTCCATCTACTCCCTGGCCCTGGAGCAGGACCTGGAGCAGAGTCACGGGGTCCAGCAGTCCATCTTCACCCTGCACAGCCACACCTTCATGCAGGTACAGCACCGGGGGGGGGTTTGGAGAGAGGTCTTACTGAACGAACCTGTCCCACTCCAGCAGCAGCTCAGAGCTCGGCAGTAAATCACTGAGCTGCACAGAGCCTGTGCCGTTTTCACACGCCACAGACACCGGAAGTGCAGTGCGGCCTGGGTTTCTCAGTTTCCTGCCCCAGAGACACATGTGGTTTCTGAATATTTGCATACAGACCTGAGGACCAGGTGCAGTCGTAGTGCCCGGTTCAGGTAGGAGTTGGAGGCCTCTTTTGCATGAGTCCCTCCAAGAACAGTCCCAGAATATGAGCAAGCTAAGATGTGTTTTGATTTTTCCTTGACCGGTCCTTAGATTCACTAACAGCGCACTGGACTGTAGAGTGTAATAATCCCTTACACTTTTATAGCGCTTTTCTGGACACTCCACTCAAAGCGCTTTACAAGTAATGGGGACTCCCCTCCACCAACACCAGTGTACCGCCCCATCTGAATGATGTGATGGCAGCCAAGGGGAAATTTGGTCAGGATGCTGAGGTAACACCCCTGCTCTTTTTGGGGAAAACGTCCTGGGATTTTTAATGACCACGGAGAATCAGGACCTCGGTTTTATGTCTCAACTGAAGGACGGCGCCTTTTTTACAGCATAGTGTCCCTGTCACTATACTGGGGCATTAGGACCCACACAGACCGCAGGGTGAGCGCCCCCTGCTGGTCCCTCTTACACCTCTTCCAAGGCCATGATTTTAAGGAGTCAAAATTCTATTCGCTGCCTCAGATATAAACCTTTAATGGGGACAGTGTTCGTTGTGGACACGTTGACATCGGCGAATGGGCGCGTCAAGAAGGGCCATCCAGCCACTTCAGAGACCCCTGCAGCTGCTGGAACAAGATCCAGCCATTAGTAATGCCTCCCTGTTGTTCTTTGCTCTTGCCTGCAGCCTTTGACGCAGCGGAGGCAGGACCATGAGAAGAAACGTAAGGAGATAAAGGAACAGTGGCATCGGGCACAGAGGAAGCTGGTGAGTGGCTGACAGTGCCCCATGTGACCCCGCTGCCCTGTTGAAGGGTGCAGTGACAAGACTCCGCCACTAGTGGCCGCTGAAGAGTCGCCAAGTTACCTTTGACAGGAGTTCGGTGTCGTAGATTCATGGTTGCAAAGCTACAAGTTAATGTTTTTTTCCGTGCTGAAAAGAGAAGAAAGGCTCGAAGAAGGCTCCATGTCTGAAACACTGTGTTCCCTTTCTTCTCTTTTCAGCATGGAATAAATCTTTAACTTGTTCCTTTGCAGCCTACGCATGCTGACGCAGCTCCCTGCTTGACCTACCTGAGCTAGTATATTTATGGTTCCTACTGTGTTTGAGGGAATGGTTTTGTAATTGATTAGTATGTCTGACAGTGGTCGTGGGATTTGTAGTGGTACTGGCGTCCGTCTTTCACTCTTAGTGAGCAGAAAAGGTGGGTGAAGGTTTCTTTAGCCTGGGAAATGAGGGAAAACAACTGCCCGGGTAGGGAGAAAGGGGGCTGCCGTATTTAAAGATGGGGAAGGTCGGCAGATTTGTTTCCAAAGTGCCTCACGAATAGAT